GTGTGTGTGTGTGTGTGTGTGTGTGTGTGTGTGTGTGTGTGTGTGTGTGTGTGTGTGTGTGTGTGTGTGTGTTCATTATGGTTAAGATTTTGTCACTGTTTTTACTAAAAGTCACAGACAGGTTACAGTCAATAAACGAAAATTCACAAGAGCCCATGACCTGTCTGTGACTTTACTAAAAATAACCGGGTGGCAGGGCTAGGTATGGTGGGAGGAATGATAGCTGGAATCCCATGGGGCGGGGACTGACAGGCTGAACCCCCACACCCTGGGGGTGGGCGGGGGGAGGAGCCGCCATAGCCCTGGCTCCAGCAGCTACAGCCACAGCAGGGGCATGCACAGCCCCCGCTCCAGAGTTGGCCACAGTGCAGGGAAGGGCCTCACGCTCCCAGCTGCAACCCCAGCCACAGGTGTGCAGCACCGGCCGCAGGCAGGGATGGTGGGACATGCATGGCCCTGGGAAGCTGCGAGGGGGGTGCAGGGCCCCGCTGCAGCCCCCGTCGCAAACCACGGGGCAGAGGCACACAACTCCGGCTGCAGCCCCCACTCCAGGGCAGGGGCGCACAGCCCTGGCTCCAGTCGCTGACAGCTGAAGCCAAAGAAGTCACAGACGTCTGGTAAAGTAATGGAATCCATGACTGCCATGACCAAATCGTAGCCTTAGTTATCATATAGTCATTAACTATGTGATCACATACTGTTTGCTCTGTACACAAAATAGATAAGAGTAAGAGAGTTGTAGGGAGATGACATTCTCTTCTGTTTAAAGCACTGGACTGGGACTCAGGACAAGAGAGCATAGCTCTGCCACTTACTTACTATGGGTATGTCTACACAGCAACTAGACAACTGCAGCTGGCCTGTGCAAGCCAACGGGGGTGTGCTATGAGGCTGTTTCATTGCTGTGTAGACTTCCGGGCTCTAGTTGGAGCCCGCGAGCCCAAGTTGGCTGGCCTGTGGGTGTTTACTGTATATGAATTTGGGCAAAGCTATCACAATGCAAACACATAAAGGAGTCACATTAAGATTGTCCTTGCAATTTTAATTCTGCAATTACCTTACTTTTCAGTGCTTGACTTTGCAACTTAAGTTTCCTGAAACTAGTTTTTCAATATGCAATTATAGTGTTATGAGCTGGATGAAACCTTTTTATGGGTTGAGTCAAAACCTCATTGAGACTGATAGGTGTGAACTCACCCTTCAACAAACATAGCCTTAAGGATAAACCCTCACCTAAAACAAAAGGAGGGTGTGAACCCACCCAGGAGATTTTGCTGAGTATTGTTTTAGATAGGTAAGACAGAACAGACAAAAAACTGGGAAAGACGTAGAGCCTGTCTACGTGGTTGGATAAAATGCACTTGCAGGGGTGTGACTTTTAAAGTGCACCAACATGTTGTGCATTAATTGGTCCATGTAAACTCTGCTGGTGATCCACAATGCACTTTAACATAGTGCAGTACGACACTGTACACTGCACTGTGCACCAGCAGTGTCTACATGGACCAACTAGCGCACAAACATGTTAGTGCATATTAACCCATCGGAAGACAAGTCCTCAGAGCGTCAGCCTGAAGGAGCAGCTGAAAGCACAGCATCTGATCCTGGAAGGAACCAGGGGAAGAGTTTTCTGGGTCAGACATGCAGGCTAGGAAAGTGTTCTTGGGTTCTGAGAGCAAAAGAAGCAGTTTCCTGCTACACCTCTACCTCGATATAATGTAACCCGATATAACGCGGTAAAGCAGTGCTCCGAGGGGGCGGGGCTGCGCATTCCAGTGGATCAAAGCAAGTTCAATATAACGTGGTTTCACCTATAACGCGGTAAGATTTTTTGGCTCCCTAGGACAGCGTTATATCGAGGTAGAGGTGCATTTGATTTCTTCTGTGTTCAGAGACAGAGGGCTTTGTACAGTCTTTGTAAATAAACAAAATTGCAAACAAATAAATATCTGACTATCACCAATTTCCCCTCCTAAGGGAGCAACCTACTAGACCGCGCTTTTTTGTCTAACTGCTCTGGTCAAAAGGGATAACAATTAGATCTATGAAAGACATGTTCTTTTTTGCTCCGGCACTCATTTCAACAAATTGGTAATTTTCAAGGAGTAGGAATTGAAGTTTCTCATAATCTGTGTGTATTGCTATTACACACAAGAAAACTTCCTTATAGCAACACATACAACTTTACAGTACAGATTTTCATACCTTGTAACGATGGTTCTTGTGAATGCTATTCTGGAAGCAGTCCATGCAGAGTACACAAGTTGGATCAATTGCACAGTCTCTGCAACAAAAATACTAAACTTGGATACCATTCTAAAATAAAATAATGAAATATTCATATACTAGAACTGTTGCCATAGTTAAACCTTTATGGATGGTGCCAAACTCAATTTCAGGCATCAAATCACAGCTATTTCATGCTATTGATATAGGATAATGTTCCAACCCTTCCACATTAGGTTTGAACCATATTAGCAACGCTATTGTTCAAACATCCTTAAGCAGGGTTCTATTAAAACCAGCTTAATTACCATTTTCCAACAATAGTTACTAGTACAGGTGTTCCCTTGCCTAGCATGGACAGGGATTTTAAAAAACAACAAGATGTTAGAGACTACTCTTGGGTAGTCTATAATGTGGTTTTAGAATAGAGTTGTAATCATTTTAACCATGTAAGATGTTGATGCAAAAGCTATGTTACATCTGTCTTAGGCTGTAAATATAAAAAATGATTTCAAAACAGTTACAATTTATAATACGGAAAGGGTCCCTTTATAATACAATTACACATAATATGTTCTTTTAGTGTAGTTTTTAATATTGCAAAGTTAAGCTTTCAAGTTAGGAAATGCCAAAATTAATGTTTCCATTACAACCTGAAGTCAGCCCCCTAGTATGTATACATTATGATACAGTCTTAAATTACATGAGCTCATACTATTTTTTCCATAGGGCCTCTGCCTCATTCAGTGCACCGGATAGACCTGTTCTGGGAATGAATTGTTGGGAAGAGAAGGCTGTCATCTGTAGGACCCTGCCTCATTTATGCAGAACTTGGAAGGTGTGTAGTGAATGAGGCAGGGGATTGCAGGAAGAGAAAAGATGGTCTCATGGTTAAGGCAAATGAATGCTGCCCTGGAGAACTAGATTCTGCCAGTACCACGGAGTTTCTACTGCTGGGAAAGTCACTTAAAACAAACTCTTCACAGGTGAGCATTAATGGTGTGTTCCTCATTTTCTGGGTGCTTGACTTGAGACCCTGGGTCTAATTTGCAGAAATGCTGAGCACTCACTGGTGCTACTGAAGTCAATGGGAGCTATGTTTTGAACATACGAAGTGCTTCATGTTGCTAAGTACACTGAAAAGTCAGATCATGGTGCCTCAAATTGGGCACCCAAGCTTAGTGGATAGTTTTGACCTTAGTATCCATCAGGTGGTCCAGAGACATCTACACGGAACACATCACGGGACACCGCCAATACCAGGTTGAGTAACTGAGACCGCCGACCAGGGAAATAACCCACTTCCTTCCCTGACGAACCGAGGGACGCACCCCACCCATGTACTTATTCTCTACACCAATATTGACTTGGACTCTTAATACATTCCATGGATGGTGTACCCGAGCCCACTTATCCACTGACGCTTTAAAAACTCCCACACCCCAATCTGGATCTATGCTGGTTATATTATATGTATGTACCTTGTGAACCTTGAAACCGATACTCGCAATCCCCATTACCCAAGCCTGACCCCAGATGTACAGTACCTTCCCTCTTAACTTGTGTAAATTTGATTTTAAACATTAACTTTAATAAAATGTTTATCTCTGTGCATCAGCTCCTTATCCATAGAATGGACATATCATATCCTTACCTCACAAGGGTGTTGTGAAAACAAAATTAACGTTTGTGAAGCACTCTAATACTATAGTGATGACCATCACAGAAAAAGCCCATGAGGAAATTAATAATCGTCTCTTCAGAGCAGGATTTTAATAATGTGCAGTAAATATGGCCTAGGGCCACACATTAAAACAAACAAATGATTGAATAGATGCTCATCCTGCATACTGAATAAGGAAGATATGCAACTGTCCTTCCCATTTACTGAATGGTAAAGGGGTCCAGAGGAGAAAACACTATGTGATCATGTAACAAATGATATCATAATGCATACCCACAACCATAAAGGTTGCACAGACAACTTTAATTCTGGCATTTCCTAATATTTGAGTGCTGGACTTTGCAATCTTAACAACATTCTTTTAACATAAGAAATTACACAAAAAAGGCTAGGTTTTTCAACACAAATTGGAACAAAACAAAAACAACAACTGGCTTTCTGTCATCTGGCATTACAATGACACCCACATGGGCCATCAGTAGGGTTGGAACCTTTAAGTCCACCATACAGACTTCTACTATTTAAGCCAACAGTAGGTTGTCATCCTCCACGTGGACCAGCATTGGAGCGAGGGGGGGGGACGGGGGGGGACGGACGGGGGGGGAGACACAATTTGCCACTGGGTTCATAGAGACTTGCTAACAGCAGAGGAATGAAGAAACTCTGGAATCATGAGATCCATTCCAGGGTCTGAATGGGAGAGTTCTCTAGTGAGCACAGACTTTTCTGCCCTTTACCCTGAAGCATAATCCTTTCTGCCCTGTACCCTCCAACCTAACCCTATCCAGTCCTGTCTGTTCCCTACCCCTAGCTCCTGAGCCCAGTCCCATTCTCCTCACCTAGGCAGCTCCAGTCTCCACTCCACAGGCTTCTCACCCCAGTACCAGTCCCTTTGCCCAGCAAATGGTAGCCTCAAACCTCTGGACTCCCTGTTGCAGTCTCCCATGCACACTCACAGTCCCTCCCCCCACAGCAAGTCTCAATTCCCTCATCCAATGTCTGTCCCTCCTCCAATATCTAGCAGTCCCCTTCACCACAATCTCCCATTCCCAGCCTCTACCTGACCCAATTCCCAGTTTCCCTCTGCTTCCAATCCCAGCCCCAGCCACCATTCTCTAGTTCCAGTCATCTTCCCTCCAGGCTCCCTGTCCCAATCTACTTTCCCTGACCCCCACCCAAGTCCAGCTCTTGTCCCCTCTGCATTTGAATAAGGGAGCTTCCGCTTCCACTCTGTCTGGGCCCAGCAGAACAGTTATTGAGATCACAGTAGAGACAGACTCCCTGCTCTCAATTACAGTCCCCAGCCTGACCTGCAGCAGCCCAGAGCTACAACTGCAGGAAAAGTCCTGCTCTGTCCCAGGATGGGGCACATTCAGTTGCTCTGTTGGGATGGTCTGGTCACATATAGGAATGGTGAGGTGATGGATGGAGCATGCTCAGTGCAGATGAAATGTTCAGGGAAATGTCAGGAAACCTTATAATAGGCAGTGCTCCCAGCCTCACCTATAATAATAGTTGGCTCATATAATGAAATAGTTATTGAATGGAAATTACTATAAACTAGTATATTTCACCGTTTTTTATCTTAAATTTGATTCATCCCACATACCTAATTAGTCTAAATTAAATTTAGCTTCTTTTTTTTTAAATCAGCAAATATAGCTAAATTTTACAATTATTTCAAGCTTTGCAGCTTGCACAGTGCCTTTAAAAAAAAAAAAAAGAGGGATGGGGATCTCCCCAGACTAGTGCATTGTGGGAGTATGACAAAAGAAGAAGATAGGATAAGAGGACTGTAGATCAAACCATGCTGAAGTTGAAAGACTTCTTGTGCTTTGGGGCCTAAGTCTTCTATACACCCATTGACCATTTAAAGTCAAGAAACTTAATATGAGTTGCAAACAAGCCAGTACCACACAGAGAAATAACTTCAATTTTTGCTTATCACATTAACGTAATCTGTGCTCAATTTAAAGTAGATTGTGATAGCAAAGCAATTATCATAGCCACTTACCCAAGGATCCTAGCAGGATACATCTAGCAGCAAAAATAATTTTATAAAGTCTATTATTGCTGAGTTACCTCACAAGAAATATTCATGACTAGTGCCTTACCTGCAAGAATATGTAGTCTCTCCACTTTTGAACACCTTCCCGCAGAGTTGAGAAACTCCGCACTGCCGCAGTTTCTCCAGGCAGACATCCGGGTCTTCCCTAAACAAGTACCACTCCAGAGGGTCAAATATTTGTTTCTGGGCCATTTCTTCCTGCTTCTCCAGCAAGGGGTCCATTTCAGCAGAGTAGATGTTTGGCACATACTTTGCCAGTTGTTGTAAAAAGGCAGCCTGAAAGTCAACTCTCTCATCCCACCACTGCAAGAAAATTAGAGTTGGGATAATACGTCAGTGGAGCAATAAAATTAACAATGATTACTACAAAACCAGGGTCATTTTCCATTTCAACACTATGAAGTTCTGTGCACCAGGAAAAATGCATATCCACATTTACAGGATAAATTAACAACAGAAAGTAGCTTATATGTAGTTTTTGAACCTTTGAGGCTTTTAGTATTTTGCCCCAAAATACATCTCTGCTATTTGCTCTGATTCTAGCTCTTTATACTCCTACAGGTGCTCTCCAACTGCTTGATTTCTTTTCTTCAATTCTGAACTTCATGCATTCTTTCATAGTGTTCCCACTCTTTAATTTATTTTTAAAGTGGGAGGCATTTCTAGTGAACATAAGCCAAAAAATACATCTGTCAGGAGGTAGCTACATGCATTTTCCCCATAAATACAAGTTATTTTCACAAATGATCCTCCCTCAATAAAATTTTCTCTAGGCCAGCAAGCAAAGTACAAGTCCACTGGAATTTGGAAAGGGTGAGAGTCTGACATGGAAGGAATAGATTGCTCAACTTGTTAGTGGACTCAACTAAAGATAATCTGTCACATGAAAGACAAAAAAACTTCACTTTTAACTTAAAGATAAAATCTAATAGCCATGGATCGACCTATCCTCCATGAATTTATCTAGTTATTTTTTTAACCCTGTTATGGTCTTGGCCTTCACAAAATCCTCTGGCAAGGAGTTCCACAGGTTGACTGTGTGTTCTGTGAAGAAATACTTCCTTTTATTTGTTTTAAACCTGCTGCCTATTAATTTCATTTGGTGACCCCCTAGTTCTTGTGTTATGAGAAGTAGTAAAAAACACTTCCTTATCTACTTTCTCCACACCAGTCATGATTTTATAGACCTCAATCATATCTCCCCTTAGCCATCTCTTTTCCAAGCTGAAAAGTCCCAGTCTTATTAATCTCTCCTCATATGGAAGCTGTTCCATAACCCCAATCACTTTTGTTGCCCTTTTCTGAACCTTTTCCAATTCCAATATATCTTTCTTGAGTGGGGTGACCACATCTGCACATAGTATTCAAGATGTGGGCGTACCATGGATTTATATACAGGCAATAGGACAGAAAATATCATGTTATCTATCCCTTTCTTAATTATTCCCAGCAACTGAAAAAAAATTTTTTTCAGAAAAATCATGGGGCACCATATTAACATCTTCATGGTTCATAAACAGGGTTGGAACATTTAGATTCACCACATAGACTTCTACCACTTGAGTTAACAGAATAACTGGTAGCAGCAATAAGTTGTCATCCTCTCGGCAGACCAGCATTAGAGGGGGAAGTGTCACACTTTGCCAGTGGATTTCACAGATAAGTGCTGACAGCAGCGGATCGTTGAGACTCTGGAATCTTGGGCTCCATTTCAGGCTTTGAAAGGGAATGTGCTGTGATGAGCACAGATGCATCTATTTTCCCTGAACTTGATACTTTCTGCTCCTCTCCCCTCCAACTTGTCCTTGTCCAAGTCATATCTCTAGCCCATCCATGGCTCCTTGTCCCAGTCCCATTCTCCTTGCAGACCCACTCCCAGTTTCCATTCCTCAAGCTTCTTGTCAGTCTCTTTGCCCAGCCAGAACTTGTCTCCTGCTCTGAGCTCACTGTCCCTTTTCCCAATCTCCCCAACTCGCAGTCTTTTCCCACACCCAGATCCAGTCTCCTTGCCCAGCCAGTCTCAGTCTCTTCCTCCCACCCCAAAACCTCGTTCCCAATCTCTTTGCTCAACCTCTGGCTCCGGAGTCCTCAGTCAATGTGTCTCTCCATCCCCCACTGGTTTCTAGTCCCAGGCTCCCTCCCTGGACTCCTCATCCAATCTCAGTTTTCCCACTTCCACCCCTGCCCTGGCTTCTTGTCTCAGTCTCTTTACCTAGCCACCCCCAGTTCTCTCAATCACACCCAAGCTCCTTGTCAGATTTGTCTTCAATTCCCAATCATCTTGTCTCTTCCCTACCCCCCAGTCCCAGTCTCTCCTTGGCTACTTGTCCCTACTTACTCCTTTCCCTCCCCCTGGTCTGGCTTTTGGCCCCTCTGCATTCAAATCAGACAGCTTCCTTCTCCACTCAACCTGGGTGCCCACAGGGATTCACTGAGAAAACAGGAGAGAAAGGCTATTCCCATGCTCATCCCCAACCTGATTCTGAGCAGCTGGGAGCAGCCATTATAATGTAGTCCTTCTGAGCCCCCATAGCCCTAAACTGGACCATGCTCAATCCCTTTATGGGGATGGACCATGTACAATCAGCTCAGTATTAAGAACTGTGAGGGGCTAGAGCATTCTCAGTGAGGACAGACTCTTGAGAGATTTTAGCTGTTAAGCTCTAGCAAGTCTTTAGGCATGTGTAAACTGCAATTTTTTCAAAGGCTTGTAACCTGGCCAAAATTGGGCAAATTTTCACAGAGATAGCAAAAGGCACAACACAAAGTCCGCCGCTAGGCAAATGTCAAGTCCCTGCTCCAAAGCATGAGAGCATTAGAGCATTTCAAAGACAAGAATGTAACATAAACAAAACATTTTTCCCTAGCCTCGTTCTTGGAAACAGCTGAACTATTTTGATCAGAATTTTCCAAAAAATTCAACTTGAACCAGATACCATTGAGATATTGTCAGCCAACAAAATTCTAAGCAACTGAGAACAGGATCTTATCATGAGAAGTGTTGAGCAACCTTAGTAATAGGCAATGCTATTAGACCCACCTATAATTAACAGACTATTAAACTCCATAATTTCCATAAAGTGCCTCATCTTCTCAACATCAGTACTTGTCCACACTGAGCACTTTAGATAATCTCCCACCAATAGTGCTGGGAGTAGTGAAAGGTCTAATGTACTCTGACCACCAGTGTTTTTACCACGGCTTAGTCTAACCCTGCAGTTAGATGACATAGTGGCAAACAAATCACTGGCCATCATTGTTCTCACCAGCAGAGTTTAAATTATGAGAGACTTCCCTTCAATTTTCATGGTACACAATCACAGTCATAAGATCGAAGCTATATTTTAAATTTAACAGGTATTCTGTAAGCTTTCTAGTATTGCAGTTACTGAATCTGAAAGCAAAGCAGACTGTAGTACTACAAATGTTGACTTTCAATTGATCTGATCTCTTCTCTCAGAGACCATGGAGTCCTGTTCCTGCTTCTAAGCACAAATCCTCTTGGCCTCCCTGTACTTTGTCAGAGATTCCAATCCCCTAACTTACTATGTCCAGTTCCTGAATTTTAGTAATGCAAATGAAGAAAATCAGAGTAGTAGCTGTAAGGAGTAGGGTGACCAGATAGCAACTGTGAAAAAATGGGACCGGGGTGGGGGATAATAGGCACCTATATAAGAAAAAGTCCCAACAAATGAGACTGTCCCTTTAAAAACAGGACATCTGGTCACCCTAGTAAGGAGTCATAAAAGTTAGAAAAGAGAGAGACCTATTAGGTAATTCAATACCAGATCCCTGACAAGGCATGGGATCACTTCAGAACAGTTTACTGTTGTAATGGGCACCATGAATTTGAAATCTAGTCAAACAAGAAAACAAAAAAAGTAGTAACGGATTCTTAAAAACTTCAGCAGTTTCAGGTACTAATTTTTCCCCGAGTTTCCCTACAGTTTACAATCATGTTTCCCTATATTTTAAAAATGTTCTCTCTCCTCTGTTGCTGTGGGAAAAACCCAAACAGGGAAATGGACCAATTCTACAGGGAAGCAGTGAAACTGAAACTTTTTGTACACACAGTACTATCAAATTAATAAAGTGAAGGTATTATTTTTGCCTTCTAATCGTTCACAGAGAATGTCTAAACTACAAAAAATGATCGATTTAAAAATGCATTAGCTACCCCCGTTTAACACAGTTTCAAACACAACTTTGCACCTAGCATAAACAGCACAAGTTGTATTTAGATATCAGTGGTTAAGTGTACAGAAGAAGCTGGGTCTCTGGGGAGGATTATTATATGGCATTTATTCCCATATTTCCTGGTTTTTGTTAATGCTGCATCTATAACGTCATTTTCTTTCTTTCCCTCCCCATTCGATACTTTCCCCCTTCCAGCATCTGGATTTGGATTTCAGCTACTCCTCCTGAACTCAATGTGCTGCTTTGCAAATGACTAACTTTGGGATTTCTCATTGCGTAACTTTTGTCAAAAGAGCTCAGGCAGAATCCACAGTTTGTTTAGGGCGTTTGGTCTGTTCGCTGTAATGAAGCATTAACCAGTCATTTTAGTGTCTCTTTAGAACAGACGTGGGCAAACTACGGCCCGCAGGCCACATCTGGCCCAGGAGACCGTCCTGCCTGGCCCCTGAGATCCCGGCCGGGAAGCCTAGTCCCCGGCCCCTCCCCCACCGTCCACCCTCCCCTGCAGCCATGCCGCAGCGCAGGCCGTGCTCTGGCCCCTCCACTCCCACTGGGCAGCGTGGGGAGCACAGTTGCCTCTGGCCGGGTGTCACGGCTGCGAACTCCTGCTCCTGGTAAGGGGGCAGGGAGTGAGGGGGTCAGGTAAGGGAGCGGGGGTCCCGGGGGGCAGTCAGAGAGGAGGGGGTGGATGGGGCGGAGGTTCTGGGCGGGCGGTCAGGGAATGGGGAACAGGGACGGTTGGGAGTGGGATTCCAGGGGGGCCTGTCAGGGGGCAGGGATGTGGATAGGGGTCGGGAGAGCAGTAGGAGGACAGGGAGGGTTGGATAAGGGGGTGGGATCCTGGGGTCCCGGGAGGGGTGGTCAGGGGATGAGGAGCAGAGGGTGGTTGGATAGAGGGTGGGAGTCCCGGGGGGGCTGTCAGGGGTGGGGCTGTGGATAGGGGATGGGGAGGTCAGGGGTCAAAGAGCAGGCGGGTTAGATGGGGGTAGGGGTTCTGAGGGGGGCAGGAAGTGGTAGGGGGCAGGGGCCAGGCTGTTTGGGGAGGCACAAACTTCCCTACCCAGCCCTCCATACAGTTGTGCAACCCCGATGTGGCCCTCGGGCCAAAAAGTTTGCCCACCCCTGCTTTAGAAGGATATGGTTTTAGTTTACAGAAGTGTTGTGCTATGGCGTTACACATCACTAAGAATCCTTGGGAGAGGAATCTTATGAAGAGGGTTTTAGCCCACAAAAGCTTATGCCCAAATAAATTTGTTAGTCTCTAAGATGCCACAAGTACTCCTCGTTCTTTATGTTGTATTCAGACACTTTTTCTGTAAAAACAGACAAATGTCTTTCCACATGTAAATGTACTAAGACCTTTCAAAAAATTAATCTTTACTCTATGGTGAGCAGTTTTGTCCTGAAGAGAAGAGAATGAATTGTGAGTGTTTTTACCAAACCTCATTTAAATAATCATTACCTTGGAAGGGGTCGGGAGATAGAGAATTGCACTTGTCGGGATACAGAAACATCCCTTTAGGGAGACTAAGATGGTATAATGCACAGAGAAGAAGGTGGTCACCTCTCCATAAGCTACTTGTGGATATCTGAACAGGTGTGTATGGAAATGGAACACAAACAAACTTTTATAAGATGATTTTCATCTGTAGATCACAAAGTATCAAATGAGATTTCTAAGTGCTATGATAAAGGAATCTTCTCATTTAGGCTTTGCAATAGGCTTATTAAAGTTAATCCAAATACTGAATTTAAATCCAATGACAACATGTCTATTATTTTTTTTATTTCATATCCTATTCTGTGAATTTGGGGGCTGAGAGTTGAATGGTATCAATCAGTTCAATCCTACTGCATTCTACCAATCACGTTAACACTCTGCTTTTCCCTGCTATTCTGTCAAGCAGCTGGAATTCCCAACCCACATTAAAAATAAACTCTTCTAAGGTTGAATTTTACTTTAGTACACAAAACAGTTGTTTTGCTAGTTAAAGTAGAAGCCAATGGAACATTGAAGACCAATCTATAGCTCAGAAGACTCTCAGCATTGGACACTGACTACCTTATTGCAGGGGTTCTGAATCTGTCTGTCTGAGCCCCTCTCCCCATGCTATAAAAATTCTACAGCCCGCATGTACCGCCACAACTGTTTTTCTGCATATCCAGTAGATTAAAACCCAGGGCCAGCGTTAGAGGGTAGCAAGCCTGGGGCCTCACACCACAGGGGGCCCTGCAAAGCTCAATTGCTCGGGCTTAGGCTTCAACCACGGGCGGCAGGGCTCAGGCTTTCTGCCCTGGGCCCCAGCAAGTCTAATGCCAGCCCTGCTCTCTGGTTTATTTTGGCAGACCCCCTGAAAACTGCTTGCAGCCCCCCACATGGCCCCAGACCCCTGATTGAGAACTGCTGCCTTCTTGGGTAGTTCTAAAGTCTACTTTAAAAGTATAAGATAAATAGGTAAAATAGTTACTTGATAAACGTGCAGCTCCCACTTAACGTTGTCCTGTTATAGGAGAGTAGACTATTATGCTTTTAAAAGATAGTAGTGTTTTCAGGCAAGATTTTATGTTTAAGTTTTTGATTCAATACCGCTCCCTTTATTTTCATTTGAAGCTATCAGCCTTCCAGTGGCTGATGAAAGAAAGTAAGTTCCAGTTCTATGGGCATATAGACACTAATACAAATAACAGTAAAGCAACAATAAAGAGCCCCTAAATGTACCTGCCCCAAAGAGTAAATTCCATACAGCAACCCAGAACTTAAGTTAGTGAATATTTGTCCTCCTTCATCTTAAACCTAAATGTAACTTCTTTGGTGCATGAAGTGTATTGCCTCTGAATAATAGGCCCCACCCCTGACTTGAGCTGTGGAGATCTAGAAAGATGGGGTTGGGGGGGGGGGAAATCACAGAGCCTTTCAACAGATTATTCTCCAAGACAACCTTCAGATCAGAATGATGAGGTGGATGATTGAATTTTATCACTTTCAACAACTGATTTAACACCTGACCTTATGAAAATATTACTTTTCACTAGTGACCCAAACCTATCAAGAGATCACCCTTTATTAGGCAACTGCTTGTTTTAACAGCCTGTTCCAAGATATTGCTGAGAGTAGCCGACTACAACTCTGCTTTTACTGGTGCATCAGGGCCATTCTTGTCATGCCATTGACGGGCTGCTTAAAGCATATCGAGCAGTCTTTTTGATTCACAACCCCAGGGAAACTTGCATTTAAGCAAAATGTCGCCATCATCCCTTATCTCAAGTCCGCGCAATAAAAACTTTATTCCGCCTGTCACTGAAGATCATCTCTACAAGACCATCGATGGTCGCTGGTCACCTAGCTCAGGCTCAGTAGTAACTACACAGCGCACGGGTGTCACCATCGCATGGGACTGTGCCACCGGGAAACAGCCATTGACCGCAGGGCAGACAATGGGGAAAGGGGGGTAGGTGAGTCCACACTGAGCGGCACCTCCCCGCCTAGGGCGTTAACCCCCAGCGGATGGGGGCCCTCACCTCTCCTAAGGGGAGGCAATCAGGGCTTCCCTTGCTCCCCCAAGCGGGCAGGGGGTCGAGCTCCCATCCACTGGAGGCTCCAACCTGTCCGCGCGGAGGTTACCAGGTCACCACGGGCGGCCCCCGGGAGGACCCATACGGCAGGAGTCTCACCATGGCCCGCTCCTGGGGCTGCACAGAGACCCCGCCGCTCGCTCCCGATCCGGCTCCTCCATTGCCTCCATCCGCCATTTTGAGGGTAACTGACACCGCCGCCAAGCCAAGCCAAGCCCCGCCCCGCCCCTTTGCCACCGAGCCGACCGGAAACAGGTTGCCGGGGCAGACGGGCCAAGCTGTAGTGTCCGAATCTGCCTCCCGACAGTGTGCGCACCTGGCTGCCACTGAGCATGTGCCAGCGATCGGCGCCTGCTCAGTCACACCTGCTGAAGCCGCTGCCCTTACTTGCTCTCAGATCCGATCCCATTTCCTGCTTCCTGGGCAGAGGAGGGGGAAGGGCGGGGGACAGAGCTTCATACGGCTAGTGGTGGCGGAAGCGAACTTCGATGGGAGCATCCAGCCGGGGTGGCGGGAAGACGGACGGTGCCTTTTCTCGACATCCCTTCCGCTGGGCTGTGGCGCTAAAGGGTGCTCTTCTCTTCGGGGCTGGTCCATAGGAGGAAGCTGCACTGTGATGTTAAACCAGTGCAGAGCCCTGTGTGGCCACTCGGATTTTGGGTTACATTAAGTTGATTAACAAGAAGCGGTTCTTACACAGAAATAAGACTGTTTTTACACAGGTGTGCATTGGTTTAACTAAGGGCTTGTCTATATTGGAAAGTTTTACCAGTCATACAGGTATAGTTAAACTGATACAGTTATATAACTCCCTGTTTGGACACTTATTCTGGAATAAGGCCAGGACTACACTACAGACCTATGTCGGTATAAACTATGTTGCTCAGGGGTGTGAAAAATCCACACCACGCAGCTTTTAGCAACAACACAGCCTTGTCACTAAAAGTCAGGGTGTGTAAATGCTCTTTGTCGGCACTTTTGCTGATAAAATACTTCCATCCTGGTGAGCAGCATTAGCTTTGTCGGCAGGAGAGAGCTCCTGCCAACAAAGCCATGTTCACACTGCCACTTGCGTCAGCAAAACTTTTGTCTTTCACGGGGGGAGGGGGCTTTTTTAAGTACCCGTGAAAGACAAACATTTTGTTGACAACTTCGCAGTGTAGACATACCCACAGTTATACCAACCTAACCCCCAATGTAGACAATGCGATATCAGTGGGAGAGCTTCTCCTGTCGAGGTAGCTACTGCCTCTTGTGGAGGTTGATTAATACGCCAGTGGGAGAACCTCTCCGGTTGGCATAGGAGCGTCTTCACTTACGCGCTACAGTGGTGCAGCTGCGTCTAGTCAGTGTTTTAAATGTAGACCTGCCCTTATTCTGGAATAAGAGTGTTCATACAGGGAGTCATACTGGTATAACATCAGCCATTTACATTCACATCTTATAAGTATAGTTTTCCTGTGTAGACAAACACTTTATTGCTTTTCAACAGATTTAAATTAAACTGTTGCAAATTTCTCAAATAGACAATACCCAGGGCAAAACCTGAAGAGAATGTCAAGGGATAAAGAAAGGAATTTCTCTAACCCAAGGGGTTACCACCTACTGTATTTCAAAGATCTGTTGCAAACAATGGAGGTGTACAGCTTTTCCACAAAAGGTCAGAAGATTATTTTGTATAATGAAAAGTGTTAGACAACCTAAATTAAATTCCATAAAACTTCCCTAACATTTAGAGTTAAAGTTGCCCAGTTAGAGTTAAAGTTGCCCAGTGATGCCTGGTGGCTACCAGCATACGGAGAGTGGCTAAACTTAAATCTCTGAAAACCCAGAAATAGAAAGATAAGGTATACACCATCCCCACAATGCAGCTTCCAGTCACTACTGGGAATGAGTCCAAAGTGGGGTGCCTTAATAAATAGAGATGAGGAAGTTCTAAGAGAATGTGCCATTGGCTGTGATGGGCCCCACAGATTTCAAATCCAATATTTATCTGCAGTCACTCCAACGACCTTAACAGAGTTGAGTGTAGTTGTGTTGAATGGTGGAGGGATTAGTTGAAGCTGCTTGGCAGAGCTGTTGCTGTAGAATGGGGCAGGCAAACTTTTTGGCTTGAGGGCCACATCGGGTTTCGGAAATTGTATGGAGGGTCGATTAGGGTAGGGGGTCGTGGCCTGGCCCCCACCTCCTATCTGCCTCCCACCCCCTGGGACTCCTGCACCATCCACACTCCCTCGCTCCCTGTCCTCTGTCAGCCCCGGACTCCTGCCGCCCCATCCAACCCCTCCTCTCATTGCTGATGTCCCCCGGGGACCCCAGCCCCATCCAACCACCCCTTCTCCCTGTCCCGACTGCCCCCAGAACCCCTGCCCCTGACTGCCCCCTGCCACCCCATCCACCATTCAACCCCCCTATTCCCCCCCCCCCCGACCATCCCAACCCCTGGC